AGAGTAAACTGGGGTGTGAAGAATGGGCTGGGTATGAAGAATGGGCTGGGTGTGAAGAGTGGACTGGGTGTGAAGAGTGGACTGGGTGTGAAGAGTGGACTGGGTGTGAAGAGTGGACTGGAGTGTGACTCAGTATGAGACCAAAGAGAAAGTGAGAATTTGAAGACCACATATAACACTGAAAAACTGCACAGGCTCCGGAGCTCAGGCCTTAAGCCATCAAACAAACAGATTCTTATTCCAGACCAGTCTTGTACAAACTTTATGGCCTTTTACAGCCTGCTGTTCAAGGTCACTCTATAACAATGCCTCTTTTGCCTGCTCTACTGGTCTGAGCAGTCACAAGACTTCAGTTGGGGAAGGACAAGATGGTGAATCACCCTTGATGGGGAGACTATCAAAGAATGTACTGCTCTTCTAACACACACACAGTATTGCGGGTAATGTGCACATGCAGAAGTCATGTTCCCATGTTGAGCAGGCATGTGATTAGGTTCTGCAGATAATTTTATTTATTTATCTATATATTTAATATTTTACCGCTGTGGGTATTTTGTCTGACTGTATGTGTGGCTGCGTGCCACATGTGTGCCCGGTGAAGGTCAGAAGAGGGCAAAGCAGTGGATTCCCTGGACCTGAATTACAGAGCTGTGAACTGCCTTGCGTGTCCTGGAAAGCGAAAGCGAACCTTCATCCTCTGGAAGGGCCTCCGATGCTCTTCACCACAGAGCCAACTCTCTAACCCCTCGGCAGATAAGTTATAGGGAGAAACTCCTAAATAGGAGATAGGAGAACGGCTTGCTGGAACTGAGGTGGCCAGAAGCAGGGCCCTTGGCATTGCCCTTTTCCTTTTATGTAAGGTACATGTGATGGTTGGAGCCCAGCAGGAGGGGAGCTAGAGCCACACGGAGACAAAACGGTAGTAAAGGTTTGGGGTTCTCTTCATGGAGGAGCTGACCTGTCAACTTTCGCACACCTTATGTGAGAGATGGATTTTTGCCTTGTTTAAACTGCTCTGACGAGACACTGCGGCGGACACACGTGCACCCCTTTCTGCCCTCCATTTCCTCGCTAGAACAGCTCTGCCAGCTGCTGGCCTCCATGATCCCTGGTCTTGCACCAGGCAGGAGGGGCCGTTCTCTTGTTTTAAGGCTCTCTTGTCATTGTGTGGAAATTCTTGTATTGGAACCTGCTGTCAGAAGAGAGGTCTGATCAGATGATGCAATATGCCTGTGAGGAGGTAAGTGGGTGCCTGCAGCTCACGGGTGGTGAGCACAATTCCCCGCGAGCATAGAATTGTGGGGAGCCTGTGTGCCTGGACACTTGGCGAGACCCAAATCAAACACAGGGTGGTGTGTGGTGCCCACCTAGGCCGAGGCTGCTGTGCTGGAGCCCATGGGCTCTCCTTACCATGGAACCCATAGGTGGGACAGGATACAGAGTGCTTGATCTTGCTGCTAAGACAGGAATTCTGGGATATGCACAAACAGTACAATTTATTCATCTGGGTTGAAGCCAGTCTTTTCTTACCAGAAGCATAGTATGTCCATGAGTTATCGGGAGGATCCTAGAAGCTGGGATACCCATGCCACAGGGAAAGGCACATAGAGTGTAACTGTCTTAGAATTCCTCTACAAAATCGTGTTTTCCCCAGCATGGCTTTCTTTTCAGTTTTAGTGTGTGCGAATGTAGTGATGAGGTCTATTGAATCCGCTGAATTCTGACTCCATTAGCTTAGCCTATATCCAAAAGTCTCTGAGCTTCAGGGCTCATATTTGGAACGCAGGGCAATAGACCCCACTGGGGTTGAGGTAAGTGGTACTTTGACGAGGAGGAGGAGGAGGAAGAAAAGGAGAAGGAAGTGGAGGAGGAAGAAGAGAAGAAGGAGGTAGAGGAGGAGGAGGAGGAGGAGAAGATCATCTCCTTAGGGCTGGGGAGATGGCTCAGTCAGTAAGGTGCTTGATACACAAGTATAAGGGCCTGAGTTCAGATCACCATCACATTGAGAGCTTGACATGGTGGTGCACCCCTGTTATTCCAGCACTGGCAAGGCAGAGACAGAAAGATTCCTGGTGCTAATTGGCAAGGCAGTCTAGGAGCTCCAGGTTCAATGAGAGACCCTGTCTCAGAACAATGTGGAGAGCAATTGCGGAAGACACCTAAAGTCATCCTCTGGCCTTCCCAGCGCGTGCGCGTGCGCGCACACACACACACACACACACACACACACACACCAGATCTCCTTAGAGGTCTCTGAGTTGTTTTCTCTGTAATTCTCTCTGGTCTGTCCTGTGTATTGTCTACATTTGTGGTGTATTCTTTATTCACTTCATCTTGACTACGTTTAATTTGCTCCTTTGCCGTCTCCCCTAAGTCTGTTCAGTTCAGCAAGGTGGGCTGTACACATCTGTTCACACACTGCCCCAGTCCAAAATCACCAAGCTAGGCCTTGGTCCAGGTAGGTCTTCAATCAATCACAGCTGTGCAAGTGAATTCACCCATGAAAGAATGTGTGAACACTGACGAACCTACCAGGTCCAGTGCTGAAAAGCTGCTCCACTAAAGAGGCTGCTGCTGCTGCTGCTACTGTTGCCAAGGCAACAATGCCTGCTTTCCAAAGCATCTTTACAAGAGAAGCAAAGGCTTACACATCCTGTAATGGGAAGGAAAACCTGAACCCTTCCACGAGGGCTGCCTGCTTCCTGTCTTGCTCCTCCAAGGGCCACCTTAGCTGTTGCCCTTTGTTAGGTCCCTGGCACGAACACAGTGAACTCCAGTATAGAAACTGCCTTTTCTGGTCCCACACAATGCTCTTAGGAACAGTGTGTGTTGCCCGGCTGGCTCCACCAGGACCTACCAGGACTCCCCAGGCACCAGTGAGGACAGGCTGGTCTTGGAGGTCTTTCTAAAAAGTTCCCTTAGCTCTTGTGGTGGGCAGCAGGGACAGCACTTTAGCATTTTTATGGTAGGTGGCCACATGTCTCCACAGAGCTCAAGGAAGGGGGCAGTTTGGGGCTGCATGTGTGCCGGAGTGAGAGATTATGCACCTAGACAAAGCTCTCTTCCTCCACCACAGAAATGGAAGGACTCTGAGCTGAGGCAAGAAGAGGTAACAAAGATTTGGGGTAGGAATTTAAGGAACAAATATCCCCGATCTAGTTCCGAGGAACTGCAGCCCCAGGAGATGGAGCCTGACCCCCAGCCACCTCTGTCCCCGCGGTGCTCCTTCAGCAGCTGTGGTGAGCCAGCGCTGCCGTCCTCAGGCCATTGGTGGATGCTTCATGAGACGCTGATGCTCAGAGAGGACCAGGGCTCTTCAGAAACACATCTGCATCTCTGAGCCAGATGCTCCCTGCTTGCTGGGATCAGGAGTAGTAGCACACATTGGAAAGAGGTAGTCTTCCTCTCTCCTTTGGCCTTTTGGGGAATTAGCGTGGTGTGTGTGTGTGTGTGTGTGTGTGTGTGTGTGTGTGTGTGTAGGGCAGAGGTCAACCTCAGATGTCATTTTTTAGGAGCTACCCTTTTTGGCTTTCACTCAGATCTGACGCTTACACAGACTGACTCTCCAGTGATCCCCCAAACCCACCTGTCTCTGCCTCCTCAGTGCTGGGATGACAGGAGCAGCCACTATGCCCATCTTCTCCCATGGGTTCTGGAGATTAAGCTCAGTTTCTCATGATGTGCCCACATGGGCACTTTACTGACAAGGCCATCTCCTCAGCTCAGGAACTAACATTCTGCCAGGAGACCAGGACATCGTTATGTGTGGCTTCATTCCTCCATAGTACAGCACAGCTGGAAGGGACCATTACCGGGTTCATTTCTCGGGCAGGAAAATAAAGGCCATGGGAAGCTGAACGACTGGCTTAGGGTCTCAGAGTCAGTTTGACCCTCTCCTCTACCTTTCCCAGTCTCATATAGTAGGTACTAAGTAAAATTCTGCTGGGTAAATGCCGAGTAAGATGATCTGAGCTTTCTGGGCAGCAGCCTGTTCCTAATTCTTTTCTGGCTCTGCTAGAGATGCCCCTGCATTGTTAGACTCCAGGGAGGATGGAGCCCACCCTGCAGGCCTAGCTTGCCTGGGAGAATTCAGAAAAGTGATTCCTGACTAGGCTGGGTGTCAGGGGTGTTAACAGCATTGTGAAGATTGTAGAAGGGGGCACAGTGAAGCACCAGGCAAGAGCACGCTGTGTGTCCCCCTTTTCAGTTAGAGCCTCTTAGAGGCCACGGGGGCGCTATGACTGATGAGGCCTCACCTCCTCCAGGGACAGAAGGGCAACGCTGTGTTGGATGAGGCAGGAAGGATCCCTTGGCACTGGTGTCAGGCATGACAGTTGCCGGAGTGAGCCAGGGTGGCTGAGGAGCCCCAAGGGCAGCTTCTTGGGGTCAGAAGGAACCCTGGAGGAGATGAACTCTTAGCACAGAGAAGGTCTCTGTTCTTGAACCGTCTTTACCGGCATGTGTCTATTTTAATGCAAGGTTCCTGCTAGTTGTATTTTAGAGGCCGTCTGAGGCCTCCCGATGATCCTTCTAGCCAGCAAAGGTGGAGCAGTGAAGTGGAGGACATGTCCCTAGGCATCCTCCCCATGTCAAGTGAGGGCCAGCTTTTCCAAGGGAACCCATGGCCCTGAGACAGAAAGAATGACTTTATTTTTTAAAAAAGTGTGTGTGTTCCTGTGTTATATACATACATGTGGAGGCCAGAGGTCAACTCAGGTCTTTCTCAGCCGCTTCTCCACCTTACTTTTTTCTCTCACTGGTTCAGCTAGGTTGGCTGGCCAGCAAGCTCCAGAGAGTCACTGGTCTTTGCCTCCCCAGTGCTGAGTTCAGGTCCTCATGGCCACACTCGACTTTGTACATGGGTTCTGGGCGTCCGAACTTGGGTCCTCATATTTGCAAGGTAAGAATTTTTACCAATGGAGCCTTCTTGCCAGCCCTCATTTTCAAATAAGTACATTTGGAGAAAGCTGCTTCCCCTACCCCCTTCATGGGTGGCCACAAGGCTTGAGAACACAAGATTCTGACAAGTAATGCAGTTAAGAAAACCTATTCTTTTTATTTGACCTGCTGTTTCTCTCGCCTCCTCCTATGTACTTTAGAGAGGAGCCTTGGTTATTTAATACCTGTGGGGAACACTCTCTAGGGCACGCTGGAGTCAAAAGACACCTCTCGTACTTCTAGAACCTTCTGAGAGACCAGGTCTGACGGTTAGCCATTGAAGTCCAGGAGTCACAGAACACTGGGAAATAACGGCTAGTACTGGGGTTGTGGGTAGGGGAGTTGGAACAGTGTCTAAGCCTTGGAAAGAAAGTCTGCAGTCATCTCAAGGCTGGAGAAACTTGGAATTGGAGAAGGGGAATAGACTTCAGCCTCCTCTGGAGGAGGGCACCCCCCAGTCTGCAAGATTTTCCTATCTGCTGTAACCCCGCCCTCTGAGGTGTCAAGTTCAGTCTTCCTCAGGCTGTGGCAAGGAGTCCCTGCAGGTGGCGGGAGGAAGTAGACTATAGGTACCATGAAGGCAGTGCCTTAGGCACCCAGCACTTCACAATGGAGGCCACAGGAGGCAGGCAACTCTTTGTAATTTGGGGGCAAGGTAAGCTGGCTCTGATGTCCTAGAATGTCAAGGATGAGCCCTGGGCTCTGATTTCTGGGCAGGGCCAAGCTTGCACCGAGCCGGCTGGGTTGAGCATCCTCCCGTGGCATTAGTCTCTGTAGGGCTGTGCGTCAGGCACCCATTGGCCGCAGCATCATGCGTGCGCTGTGCAGTGAGTAGCCGGGGCCCCGGAAGTAGTGCCAGCGGATGCCATTGATCTTGTTCAAGTGTTGACGAACTGGATAGTAGATGCCATTGAGGTTGGAGAGGCCACAGGCATCAAACCACCACCCTAGTGGGAGAGGGAGGACAGAGTTTGGAGGAGGTGGGATGTGTTGGCCTAGATTCTAGGAGGGCAGGGCTGGAGGGATGTCATCTTGGGTACCGGTTTGCTGAAGGTCATGGGCTGGGTATAGCCAGAGCTTTGGAGGTCAGCAGAGACTCTGGCCACAGCTCAGGCTCCTCTGTGACTTCCTGCTGTCTTCCTGACACCCTATCTCCCTCTTCTTCCCTTGATGAGCTCCTACCATGCTCTATCACACCTTCCTGTTGCTCTCTCTAGAGGTCTCTGTTTGTGGATGTCCCTCTGTGTGCCATCTGGCTCGTGCGGTTTCTGTCCTTCCCCTGGGGCTCTGTCTCCAGTGCACTCTGCACACCTCCTATCTATCTCCAGGGTTTGTTCCTCTCCTTGTTCAGTCTGCTGCACCTGCACCTCTCTGCCTCTACCACTTTGTGTCACTGTTGGCCTCCTCTGGCCCTTGTCTCTATGACTTGAGTCTCTTCTGTTTTTCCCCTTCCCATCTCCGTCCTCTGATTTTTGTCCCGACCAGAGCACTGTCAGACATACAGGTGTGGAATGGACCTGCCTTTCCTGCCTCTAGTCTCCCCGATGCTGTTTCCATTTGGCCTGGGGAGCAGGGGAATCCTCAGACAGGAGAGTGGGATTGATGGGCATTGTGTTTTCCTTGAGCTACTCTTGGAGTCTCCCAGCTAGTCTCTAAGGAATTCTAGGGGTGTTGCTATAGAAGTACCTTCTATAGAAGATACAATTCCATGGGCACTCTAATGACCTGGAAGAGGGAGGATTGGCTGGAGCCTCACCAGGAATGCCTACCCCCAGATAGCATCTGGACATACCCTCCCCCCCTTGAGATGTTATCTGGGTACATCCACCCCCAGACATCATCTGGACACATCCTCCTCCACCTCCAGATGTCATCTGAGCACACCCACTTCCAGACGTCATCTGAGCAGACGTCATCTAGATACACCCACCTATAGACATCATCTGGACATACCCTCCTCCACCTCCAGACCATCATCTGGACACACCCACTCCCAGACATCATCTGGACACACCCACTCCCAGACATCATCTGGGCACACCCACCTCCAGACATCATCTGAGCACATTTGCACATGCAGTTATCATTGTCCATGTCGCTGGTGCTGAACTTGGTGCCCTGTGGAGACAGGCTGTTCTTGAACCCTGATGAGCTGCTGCTTGCATTTACAAAGAGGCTAGAGGCCGGGGACAGAGGGGTAGGGTAAGAAAGGGGTGCAGAGTCAGGTTGATGCTCTCCAAAGGGCTTTGTTCTGGCAAAGTTTCCTTCCTGATGTTTTTGCAGGGGAAACAGCCCGCTCTGATGCCCAGGCCATTGTCCCTCCTGGTGACCCTCCTCACTTGCCACCCTGGGGTCACAGCCCTTACTGCTGCTGGCTCTTCCTTATTTGCTGAATTTGAGTCCTAGAGAGCTCTGGGTGAGAGGCACAGAATAAGGACAGCAGCTAGCAATCTTTTGAGCGTCTGCTCTGGGCCAGGCATTGTTACAGTGTCTTGAGAGAGCTAACTCGTTTTTCATTTAAACCTCACAATACCTTGTTCTACATGAGGACGTGGGGGAAGCAAGAGCCAAAGGAGGCTGTTCGGTTCTCAGAACCAGTAGCCATCAGAGCTAGACTCTAGTTAGGAGTGGCCTGGTATGGGCACGGTTACATCCTTGGCTTACCAACTGACAGCCCAGCAACCTCCGTGCACCGCAGCCACTCTATCCCACATCTCTTCTGAAGCCTTCCCTGAACAGGGCACACCAGCCCCCATAGATCAACACTCAGGAAACCCCCAGCGAGGGGACAGAGGGCTTTTGATGCTTTGCCAGACTCTCTATCCCTGGTGACTATGCCCAAGCCTACAGTGTAATAATAGCCATGGGAACAGGGTAGGACAGAATGCCTGGATTCAAACCCCAGCATGGCCAGTTGGCCACTGCCTGACTTTGGGAAGGCATCTTCACCCCACTGAGACTCAGTGTCTTCACTTTTTATGTAAATGGTGACAAGAGACTTACTATGACTTTGTTCACCTTGTGATTTAGTGACATCAGCAGGCAGAGTGTGCTGAGGGGTTGGGGGGTGGTTGGTGAGAGCCCCATACATTCAGGACTGGTGACTTAGTCCTGGGGACAGGTCAGCCTGACTGAAAAATGTAGGGGAAGCTTACTTGAGCAGCTGAGGCAGGAGCTGACTTGAGAGCCTTTAAGACGCTTTTGTAGTAGAGGGAAGCAGATGGAGAGGACCTGCAGGCCCAAGGAAGCATGGCTCAATCCATGTCTCTCACCCACAGGCTCTATCTGTCTGTGGCAAGGCAGGGTATTCATGATCCTATTACTCTAACCCCAGGGTACAGAGGTGTTGTACAGAGGTGTGACTGGCTATGGGCTCCAATGTGGAGACTCCCAAGCTGCTCACCCACTGATAGACTCTGTCTTCTTCCTCGGGCCATTAAACTTGGTGATGTCCCTCTTCTTTCTGGGAACCAGAATGGGAGTCAGTGATTCTCTGGGTACCTCTACCTCAGCGTCCGGGAAACCTCACTTTGATCACGTGTGTCTGAAGAAGCACGGATGCTTGAGTCTCTAGTGAATCCCCAAAATGAGAGCATGAAGGGTGTCCCACTATGTTCTGAGTGATCCTGTCCCTGCATCTGACATACAAGGGCACCTCCTGCCTGTGGCTGTTAGCCCTTTCATTCCCTCCTCTGGGCTCTCCTGTGGGTCCTCCCACCCTAGCTGCTGACCTGGAGATGGGTTCCAGTGCAAGCGGTCATCCTTCTCCCCTGCTCCTCCTTTGGTAGTTTCCAGGCCTTTCAGTAGTTTCTAGGACCCCCATGCCCATCCTAAGTCAGTCTTCCTGGCCCCAGAAGCCCTAGTGAACATCTTATTCGGGCTTGGAGAATGTGTAACCCAGCTGAATGCCAACTCTTTGTCTTTTTCAAATGTGTGTGTGTGTCTGTGTGTACAAGTGCACATATATGTTTGTGTGCACATGGAGGCCAGAGGACAATTTCGGGTGTCCTTCCTCAGACTTTTTATTTACTTATTGAAACAGGGTATTTATTTCATTAGCCCTGTGAGCTTCAGTGATCCTCTTGACGTCTCCAGCACCGGGCATATAAACATGTGTCATCATGCCTGGCTTTAAAATTTTGGGTTCTGGAGATTGAACCTGGGTCCTTATGCAGGAAAGGCAGGGGCTTTAATTGACTGAGCTATCTCTCCATCCCTCTCTGCTGCTTTGGAGCAAATCTCATTTTCTGGGATTCCCCTCTGAAAGAGACTCATTTGCCATGAACCTTTCCTCTCCCAGGAAGCTCTTTGAGTGTCCAGGGTCTCTAAGGCCCTGGATATTGTCCCTGGCAGCTACTGCCTCTCTGGAGGAAGTGGGTTGCCTGTGAACATGTTTATCCCCCACCACACTGTCACCACACTGGGATATGAGCAACTTTGAGGAAATCGGTCCAGGCCGGAGTCTTTTCTAAGTGACCAGCACATGCCTGGCACAGGGCGAGTTTCAATACCCTGTCATTAGGACTCTGCAGCTATTAAGTACATGCTGCTCTTTGAGGCATGACAGAGCGGGGAGTGGGGAGCTCTCCATGGTTCAGAGGCAAAGCTGGAGATATATAAAACACCCAGTTTACATGTAAGAACTTCAGGAGGGCGGAGACCTGAGCACAGCTTTGTGTGGTAGTCGCGAACCTCCTACACTGTTAGACAGATATTGCGGTGGTGTAGTTCTGCCTTTGAATCTAGCATTTAAAGATATCCAGCATTTACCCAGCACTCACTGTCTGCTAGGTGCCACAGGTTATGATGCCAGACTCTGACTCTCACAGAGCAGGCCAGTGACATGATAGGGCTGCCAACAGGAACAGCTGTTACAATACTATTTACCTTCCAGGTACTGTGAGGGTGCTTTAGGTGGAACCCCACATTTGAGCCCGCACTCTCTGAACTGGGCAGGGAAGTATGTTCAGAGTCACTCAGAAAGGGGTGTGGGTGAGACACGGCTTTTCTTTACAGGTCAGTGGCATCAGTAGGCATGCGCAGGACATGCCAAATTTCCCCTGGCTAGCCCTGAGGATCTGGTTCAGCCCTGTGCAGCTCAGCCTTAGGGATGCTCCTGCCTCCTGCACCTCAGGCCTCAGGGTGGTCCCCACAAGGGAGGCTGGCAGGCCTACTCCACTGGAGGAAGCAAGGACCTTTCACAAGAAAAGGGAAGCATGGGGGAGAGATGCCAGGGAAGGTTCTCAGAAGTACATTTCCATGAAGAGTCATTTAGAGATTTCCCTGGGAGGAAGTAAGAGCCTCCCCAGCTTTCTGGAAGTTGTCTGCAGCTGTAGAGGCACCAGGTGCCAGGGGACATCCTTGTAACCCTATGAGTGAGTCCACAAGCTTATTCTAGCCTGATCCAAAGATAGCTAAGATACTGGCTTAATTTAAAGATCAGTGAGTGCCTCAGAGAGGTGACATCACAGAGTAGAGACACAGTGGGTTTGACAACAGGGAGAACTAAGTTCAAATCCAGTATCCACCTAACTTGTCACTTTGAAGATTCAGTCCCTTCATCATCAAACCATAGAAAGTAATGTCCGCCTTACAAGCCTGAGAAGAGGGCTAAACTGTGTCTAGAACACAGCAGGCGCCTGGGAAGTGCTGGCTGCTGTTCCTGATCACATACCACAAACCGGACAGAGGGAGGGGCAGGAGACCCTGATGACTGGACCATACCCTTGTGCTCAGCACCGCTGAGGAGCCCAGAGAATGCTGACCTGGCTGGGCCCAAGTTTTGCTGCAGATAGCAGTGCTGGAACGTGTTCTTTCTCCTAGTGTGGGGACTTTCACACCTCACCACAGGGCACAGACTGAGAAGTCAACCCCCACTCCTGCTGCCTGTAAGTGGGCTGACTAGCCTTGGAAGCTCCCTTCTGCTCGGGGCTCGGTGGCGTCCCTGACAGTCTCTTCACCCCACCCAGTGGCTGACATGTGCTGAGTGCTAAGCAGCCACCTCCAGATCCCATGACGTGCGCCCAAATAGGGGCCAGATGGTGGAAATAGGAGACGCCCAGGGAATGACCCATGGTGCAGACTCTGCAGCCACTTGCCTTGGGCCCCCGCACCACCCACAAGCCTGGGCCCCAAGCCCACCTGTACCGCTGCTTCTCACTGCCCAGCTGGAACTGCTCATACTGGATGGAGGTCTGGTGGCCTTCCCAGTCACATAGCTCCACACGCAGCAAGTGGGGCTTCCTGCTGGTGAGGCGGTGCACAGCCTCGTTGCCCAGCCAGTATTCTCTAGCCACGTTACCAAAGCCCTGTCGGGGAGGAGAGGAAAGGGTGGCTGTGTGCTGAAGAGGGAGGTGGTGTCTGTGGCTGAGGAGCTGGGCCAGTCCAGGCTCCGTGGCCACTTATCCGAAGTCAATGCCTCATGAGCAAGTTCATAAGAACAGTGGGCACAGCCCTGGGACAGGAGATTCCTCCCAGAGAACAAAGATAAACTGTTTGTAAGATGGAAGCCCGCTAGAAAATAACCGAAATCACATTCCTCTAAAGTCAGAAACACTCAAAACTCATTTGTGGCGACAGATATAGGAATAGCTGGGAGAATGGCTCAGTGAGGGAAGAACAGAAGCTGGGCAAGAATGCGGGCTTGAGTTCGAACCCCTGACACCCCTGGGCAATGCAGAGACAAGAGTATCATTGTGGCTTGCCGGCCACTGGTCTAGCTCTAAGCTAGTAAGAGACCCCGACATCCCCCACTGGCCTCCTAGCATGACTGGGAACACAGACCCACATGTGTTGGTACTCCACACAGGAAAACTCACACCCACAGACAATAAGATAAACATAAGAAAGAAATAGCCACTACTTTGGGGACACACCTAGGGAGACGAGGCACAGGGGGACTTTCCAGGAAGTTGGGTATTTAGCTGTGAATGGAGATCACACGGGTGAGCCTGTGGGAAAATTCACGGAGCTTTCTGCTTTATAGTTGTAGACTCAGCTACATGCAGGCTAAACCTCAGCAGGAAGGAAACGGCTGAGCTGCTGAGCCAGCTGCCGGGCAGGAGTGGCAGGAGCACATTTCCCCAGAGGCAGGAGAGAGACCAGACAGTTTCAGCCACAGAGAAATGCAAGGCTACAAGTTCTCAGAGTGTTTTTGTGATCTGAGCTCCAGGGTAGCAAGAAACTGATGACCTTGGCAGAGAAATCTCTCAGGACCAAGGACAGGGGCACACGGCGTCTTTCGTGCCCTTGATTTGCTTGCTGCTTGATGCCAACTACTTTAAAGTCCTCATCTGGAAGATGGTTGGTGGATGTCGATTGCTTGGGTCCTTGTAAATATCTCTTTCTATTTCTTTTGCTTTTGAAAACTTTAAGGGCTTTTAAGTCAGCTTGCCAAAAGTCCTGTGTTCAAAATTTAGCTGAAAACATAAAATTGGAAGGCAGCTGAGCCATCCTATACAGCGTGTGTTCCTTGAGGCAGCAATCCCACCTTGGGGAATTACCCCTATAAGCCTAGTGTTGTGAAGGTGGAGACAGAAGGATCAGAAGCTGAAGGCCATCTTCAACTACAAAGAGAGTTTGAGGTCAACTTGAAATACAAGAAATCCAGAAGAAGATGAGGAGGGGGAGGAGGAAGAAGAAGAGAAATTTATCTTGTAGATGTGTTACAGATGTGTACAAAGATGCAGAAATTTGTAGAGGCTGGTGGCGTGCATCTTTAATCCTGTACTCAGGGTCTGAGGCCAGCCTGGTCTACAGAATGAGTTCCAGGAAAATCAGTACTATGTAAAGAGATACTGTCTCAAAAAAATCTATTTAAGCCATGTAGTCAGGGATAATGGATAATGGGGAGTTTTTTCCCTGTTTCATTCTTTGCATTATTTGTGTGTGTATGAACGTGTGTATGTGTGTGTGCATATGCATGTGCATGTGTGTTTATGTGAGCTATGTGCGTGTGTGTGCACGTGTTGTGTGCATGTGCTATGTGTGTATGCTGTGGGTTGTGTGTGTGTTCGTACATGTACTGTGTGTGTGTGTGTGTGTGTGTGTGTGTGTGTGTGTGTGTGTGTGTGCAGTCCAGAGATCAACCCCAACTGTCACTCCTCAGGAACTCTCCTCTTTGTTTTGAGATGGGATCTCTCAGTCGCCCAGGAGCTGGGCAGTTCACTAGGCTAGTTAGTCTTGGACTCCAGGGATCTGTCTGTCTGCCTCTCCAGATCTGGAACCACAGGTGTGTGCTACCCTTCTTGGCTTTCTTATATGAATTCTGGGGATCAAACTTAGGGCGAGCATTTCACCTACTGAGCTGCCTCTCCAGTCCCTCCTTTGGGGTCTTTAAAAAGAGTTACCAACATGCATGTGTTACTTTTCCAAATATTAAAACAAAAATAAAATTACACTCTTAGGGTGCATGAGAAATGTCAAAAGAGGACTCAGTTTGAGGCCGGGGTTTGGAAAAACAAAGGAGCCAGTACAGTTGACTTTAGGTGAGCAGGGCTTTCACCCTGGGGAGAGGTAAGGGCATACCAGTCCCCACCCACAGCACCCTGTGCACAAACTCTGGGCTGGGAGCCCCCAGGACAGCATATTACCTCTTTGTATTCATCCCAGGTCCTCTGGAAACTCATGCTTCCATCCTGCCTGCGCTGCATGACAGTCCAGCCGCCTCCGTCAGTCTCCATGTCACAGAACACCTGGCGGGGACACAACACAGCTGGAAGCTCTTGGAGGCGCCACCAGCCAACTCTCAGCCTAAATGTAACCTGTAAGCCTGAACTCTGTCCTTCTCCAGCAGCAGTGCACCCGGGGTCAAGGGCATCAGAAAAATACAGACCCAGACTCCCCACTCAACTGCCATCATCTCTCTCAGAGGCAGGTGAGGGACACCCTCTCAGAGCCTCCTCCTTGTTTGCCAAGTGGGGGTGTTAATACTGTGACCTCTTCACAAGCGATGCAAACCATCGAAAGCATTCGGAATAGAGGCTGCACATACATGGGGTGCTTCTCATTTGTTAGTACTGCAGGGGTGCAGCCAGGGTCAGAGTTCACACTAGACACCTGACAGAAACAACTTGAGGGAGGAAGGACTTATTTTGCTTGTGGCTTAAGAGTGTTTTCAGGGACACAATTGCTTGGCATGCTATGCTGGGACAAAATGTTGTGGCAGGTGCGTGCATGCATGCATGCATGCATGCGTGTGTGTGTATGTGTGTGCATGTGCGTGTGTATGTGCGTGTATTGCTTTGATTCATGGTAGACAGGAAGCAGAGAAGAAGGACTGAGGCTTGACAGGTGTGCTCCTACTGATCCACTGACCCACTTCTTCCAACTAGGCTCTATTGCCTGTACTTTCTGGAACCTTCTGGAATAGCACCACCAGCTGAAGACCAAGTACTCAGCTCAAGACCAAGTACTCAGGTCGAACCATAGCAAGCAGAGGGAATTTGGATTCAGTGTAGACTCGGGAAGCGCTCTTCCTATGGAAAGACTGGATGAAGGTCTTCTGAGCACCTTCATGTTAACCTCTGTTTAAGGCGGGGGTTGGATGTGTGAATAAGACACAAGGGCCTTTCTTCCAAAGGGTTTGCAGCCTAGCACAGCTGACTCTTTCAAGCCTGACTTTGCTTGCACATTCTTCCAATTGGTTCAGTCCATGTTCATCAAACAATGAGCATGGATATGTTGCCTGGCCCTGCATTAAGTGAGTTATTGGTAAATAGGAGATAGATAGATCAACTTGCAGGGTTGGCTGCTTTGAAGGAGGCTCTGACAGGGCAGGCTGACTACTGGGAGTGGGACAGCTTGAGTAGCTACAAGGAGGCAGTCCCTGGAGACTCCTGGAAAGCTTCCTGGAAGGGATGGTTCTAAGTAGAGGTGGATGGAACGAGAGAGGAGAGAGAGAGAGAGAGAGAGAGAGAGAGAGAGAGAGAGCGCAGGAGTGGGGCTCAGCAGGTCCACAGAGGGAGGGAAGGCAGGGCACCTGTTGTGGTGAGCTCAAAGGGTACAGGAAGCCTAGAGAGGTGTGCAGCTAAGCGAGACCAAAGACACACCGAGGTCTGAGCTCAGAAGGCTTGCCTCTCAGGCCAGCTCCCGTGTCTCCATCAGGGGTCCCAAATTCCAGCCATTCACATCTGCCCACATTCCACCACAGCCGAACAGCTGAACTCACTCAATTTCACGCGACACATTTGCTTTCAAAGTGCTGGCATTTCTGGGCTCACGCCCACAGGGTAAACGCCCATTGGAAAGGAAGTCTTATCAGTATTGTGAAAGGAAAGCCAGAGATACTCGCTTTGTCCGGATGGCAGTGAACAGCGAGGAAAGCAAGAGTGTTGTGAAGAACCAGCTAGATTCTGCCAGGGCAAGGTCCTTGGCTTGATCTTTGTGTGGAGAAGGGAGTGTGGCAGGTTAAATAGAAACACAAAAGTCAGTCTGGGGTCAAACCAGGTTACTGCCCCCAATATATGCAGAAAAGTCAGATTGGTACAGCAAAAGGACCACTCCCGTTCCCTCTCGCCTGACCCAAACCTTGCTCCTGACATCTGTAATTCCCCTAACCTTCTATTGTGGATGACTGTCAAGCTCGGGGCTACCTTGGAGGCTCTCACCAGATGGCACCCTGTCCCCAGTCAGCCCATCACCAGCTTCATAGACCCAACTCTTGCTTCTCCTGGACTATGTAAATGGAATAACTTGCTTGGGCAAAGATATACAGGAGTGCCTAGGGCTGTCAGTTACGTGAGTGGCTGGCCATCTTAACCAACAAAGAACAATTTCCTGAGATTCTGCTTAGAAGCCTGCTTCTGGAGAAGACAGCGATAAAGGCTATACTGCCGGCTTTGTCAACGTCTGCTTCCTCACTTCCTCAGAAACCTGCCTGGTGAGAGTTTCCAGAAGCAGGGTTCCCTAAAGTCCAGTATTGATGGGGTGGGTGGGGCGGGAGAGTCTGTCAGAGAAGCCCTCAGTTCAGCACCATCTCCAGGAGCCCCTAACCTTGAGAGGCCTTGTCATGTTGGCCACACGGATGGTGTAGACGCCGCTGGCGTTGACCCCGGAGCGCTTGATCTCTGCACAGTCCTGGAACTGCTGCTTAGGGACCTTTAAGGAGGCTGCAGCGGGACAAAGCAAACGTCAGCTGGAGGGCCAGACATGGCAGTGCACATTTGGAATGCCAGCACTTGGGTAGCAGAGGTAGGAGCATCTTGAATTTGAGACCTTCCTGGATCATAAGATCTGGTTTCAAAATAAAGGAAGGACGGAAAGGAAGAAGAGAAGGAGAGAGAAAGACTGAGAGAGGGAGAGAGAAGAAGATGTCAGCTGGAAGTGAGCGAGAAGAGAGAGGAGACCAGGCTGCCACACCTGCCTGCTCTGTGCACACTCTGGCTGGGGTGGTATGGAGACAGAAAGATGAAGGTCTCTTCCAGGAGAGGATGGTGAGCTGGGGCCATCCACGTGAGGTGGGGGGGTTTGTGGAGGGAACAACATGTTATCAATATCCCCACATAGGAAAAGCTCTCAGTGCAGGGGATGGGGAGAAGGAAAGGTCATCCGTGTCCACCGTGAGATCAGGGGACACTGGTGGCACAGATGGGGTGAGGAAGGAATGAACAGTAAGAAGCCTGGTTCAGAGAAACCTGGCTGCAAGGCTGTGGCACAGTGCTCTGCCTGGGTGGATTGGCTGGAGCAGGATGCCCAAAGCAGGCAAACTGGAGCTGGGCTGCCAGGTTCCAGCTCATGAAGAGGGCAGGTGACCCTGCCACCCACTGAGACACTTCCTACATCACAGGGCAGGAAGCTGAGGCACAGGATGAGGACTGACTCACGGGCTCCCAGCCTCTCCCTCCTGTGGGGCCTGGGTTTTCCTGTGGCCCACTGACAGGCTGGCTCCCCTGCAGCCCCAGTTAGAGACCACTCATTCTGCTCTTCCTGTCTTCAAGGGCCCAGTCTACTCCCTAAGCAATGTGTTCTTGAGGCCAGGAGGCTATTAATTTAATGACTGGAATCTATCATGATCCTCTGGACACACAGGGAGTTAAAAATCGTCTGTCTGTCTCACGCAGTAGGCTTGGGATGGGATTCTACTAGATCCCAATCTCTCTGGGAGGCAGGTACCTAAGGATGGAGTTGAAGTTGTGGAGGGGTGGTTATCAACACAAATAAAAAGACAGGATGCTACTGGGGGCGGGACTTCCTTTTTGGGCCTTACACCTGGATGGTGGCTCCCAAATTCTGGCATTGGAAGACATCTGAAGGAGGCTGCTCCATACCACAAATGAAATCTCCAGAATGTTTCCTAAGCAGGGGTCTCCAGGGCCAACATGTCAGCAACCCCCAGATCCTCACAGCCCATGGGAATCGGGAGGCCAGACAAATACAGGGGAGGTATTGACTTTGAGGCAGGCAGGGACAGGACATGCTATACCTAACAAATCAGGGCAGGGCTGGGAGCTGGCCTGGGTTCTCTAGCTATTCTCTCCAAGGTTCTGCTCACAGACCGTCTCCTCAGTGAGCAAGGGCAACAAGATCAATAATGACAGTGCCTTTACTTGAAACCATTGTGCTGGACGGTTTCCTAGGAAGCCAGCTTCTGCTGAGAGCATCTTGGGAGCCAGAAAAAATGATTCAGGGGGCAGCATGAAAATAAAATGGGGCTGATATGCCAATGAAACAGTTGGGTGGAATGTGTGCCTGGTGCTAACGCTGTCCGGCTCCACCCCCTTTTGGCTCTAGGTGCCATGTGAAGCCCCTTTTGCCTTTGGTGTGTTCTCTGCACAGATGTGCTGGGGCTTCTGGAGGCTCCTGTCCTATCATGTAAGCAAGAGGTTGGGTGAGTTATGAGGTGAGGGAAGTAGCCAGGCTTGAACTTTGCTCCCTCTACTGGTGAGCCCCTCCCCTCTCTATCTTTTCCTGGGGTTGGGTGTCTCATCTGAGTACAGGGAAGCTGGGCAAATGGATTGCTGCAGGGGTGTTGCTATCACGTGGACGGGGCTGGGTCCCTGTTCTCACTTTGTGACTCTGACTCTCTGAGATAGCTAGGATTTTTCACCCTCTTCTCCACAGTCGTCACTGGCTGGGAGGAAGCTCTGCAGAGGAGGAGGTTGGCTGCCCACCCGGCTTCAGCATGTGCTGCCCCATCCTCCCCTCAGCTCCTGTTCTCTCAGCCTCCCATGAGCTCTCCGTCCATACAGAGGGCAAAAGTAACTCCCAGAAGTCTTTTCCTGGTGACAGTCAGGCAAGTGGGCAGGTGTTTGAACAGCGAGGGATGGGTGCTTGACACACCCACCCCCTGGGCTCAGGGAATAGATCTTTAGCCACAGCGGCTGAGCAGTTGAGCTGCAGGCCTGCAGGGAAAGGCACCAGCCCTGGTCCTGGTCCTGTCTGTGAGAAACCCACACATGGGACTCATTCAGATTGTCTCACTGCCAAGGCTGTGCACAACCCCATAATGGCTTTGGTCATTGCGTATCCTGTGGGTTAGAAGGCATCTACCTCTCCCACTCATGGATTCCCTGGCCTGCTGGGCTTAGGGAGAAGCCACGGGGGATCCTTTGCCCCACTTCCCTACCATCCTGGAACTCCTTCACGTACTTAAAGCTGGGTACCTTACCAAAGGCCCAGCCTCCCCCAAGGTGGTTGCAGATTGCCCTACACCAGGAGGCCCTTTGGTATCTCACCCGTCAAGCCAGTATCCATTCCATACAGCCTGTGCTTTCTGAAAGAAGCCCTACCCCACGTAGCCCCTCTTGTGCCCCTGCTGGCCTTAAGTTGAAGTACCCTCTTCCTGGCTCAGCCCTTTAGCCTTCTGAGCCCTCAATGGAGAAGCGTTATTCCTCCTTCCCCTGAGACCTGCCAAGTGGTAGGAAATTTTGTCGGATTCAGTGACCATGACAGCTGTGTGCTGCTGTGTTCCTGCCACACAGTGGCACACAGTGGATGCTCAATAAATGCTTGTTGTCTGGGAGACCGCAGATGGAACTGGGCGTGCCAGAGAGGCCCGTGCAGCAAGGTGGGCATGTTTCTCGTTTCTGTGGCAGCCTGGGTTTACCACATTCTTCCCAGCTCCCTGTGGCTCTCTAGGCCTAGCGGCAGGAGCATTAAAGGGAGCAAATTCTTGGGACTCATTGTGTCCAACCCCTCCATTTTATGTGGAAACTAAAGTCCGGAGAGGCATGTAGCAAGCAAAGCAAGAGGAGCTGGGTGGCTGGGTATAGTGGTACATGGCTTTAATCTGACACTTGGAAGGCAGAGGCAGGTGAATCTCTGTGAGTTTGAGGCCAGCCTGGTCTACATAACAAGTTCCAACCCAGAGCTATCAGTTAAGAGCCTGTTTCAAAAGAAAAAGAAAAAAGAAAAGAAAAAGGGGAATGGAGACACAGACTAGTCCACATAGGCTGTGGCTGTCTGTGTTGTTATCTCACCTCTATTCAGCAGATGGGGAAACTGAGGTCAGGAGTGGAACAGGGGCATAGCTAAGGTCTCTTCCCTCCCCTCCTTGGCTCTCTACCCCAACCCACGCACACCCAATGCTACTCACCAGTGCGCTTGTCCTGGGCTACAATGCGGGCCAGGCGCTGTACTAACTCCTTCAGCTGCTGCTGCTGCTGCTGCAGGGAGCTGGAATTGATGCTGAGGGCCTGCAGGTTGTGCTTTAGGTTAGCCAGGGTCCCGGTCTGCTTGCCGAGGAGGTTCTGCAGTTGTTCCCTCTTGTCTTGGAGGCTGCTCATCTGGGCCTGGTGCTGAGCTTCCAAAGCCTGCAGTCTGCTCTCCAGTGCCCTGCCAGGTGGGACCCAGGGATGCTCATGTCTCTTGGCAGGGATGCAAGGTCTCTTCCCCCAACACTAATCCCAACCACTGCTTCCTAGGGGCTGAGCATGACAGCTACACACATGCAGTACAGTGGCTCAGAGCTGCTCAGTCTGTGACTGCTGCTGCAGGATCACAGAGCCTTGTAGTCTGTGTCCCCTGCAGCTCAGATCAAGGAGGAGAGAGAGGCCGTGGAATCACAGGAACGGGAGTGAGTAGAGGGACAGGGACACGTGACTGGAGTGCATTGCTAGTGTTTCTTTAGTTGTTCACTTGCAGGGCTGGGGTGGAAGCCAGGCCCTGGGTCATACTAAGCGAGTGTTCCACTTTCGAGTTGAGTCTCATGCAGCTCCGTTAGCACAATAAGCACAAGAAATATCCCGGTATAAAAAGCAAAGACACGTTTAAGAAAAGAAAGCTTTCCAGTCATCTCTCTCTCTCTGGGAGTTCTCTCCTGTCTGTGGAAGATGAGGTACGAGAGTACTGGTCGCACCTCTGGGTGGATTAGTAAAAAGTTGGAAATGACTTTAACGTCCGTTGACTGGGGACTGGGAAATAGACACGGAGCAACTCTGGGAAGCTGGAGAAAGGAACAAAATGCGCATCACTCAGCTGCAGAACCAAGCCCTGGGCTTTGGGTGTTGGGTTTCCCTGCCTTATCTCTACCCCAGCGCTGTTTTTGTCTGTGTAAGTTCAGGCGTCCAGAGCACCAGACTGACTGTGAGGACAGATGCCGGGGACTGCTTTCTCCAGGATGGGGCGTGGATGGTCAGGTCAGACTGTGTACTGACAGTTATGGCAGCCAGTTAAAGTTCACAATGTGAACAGGCTAGACAGTAGTGGTGCACACCTTTAATCCCAGCACTCTGGAGCCTGAGGCAGGTGGATCTCTGTGAGTTTGAGGCCAGCCTGGTCTAGAAGAGCTAGTTCCAGGACAGCTAGGACTATTACACAGAGAAACCCTGTCTTGAAAAACCAACAGCAACAATAAAAAAAAATTAAAACAGGAAGAGAGAGATGGGTGTGGTGGCACAAGCCTATCAGGCCAGTACTAGAGGCTGAGGCAGGAGCATAGTAAGTTTGAAGACAGCTGGGCTACATAGTGAGAACCCACCTCAAGCAAAACAAACTGACAACAAACAAACAAATAAACAAAACCACCACCAACATAAACTCCAAACAAGGGCAGTGTGTGGGGGCTGGGAGGGGGGACTGAGGGTTGACTCAGAGGTGGGGAGCTTGTTAGCATGTGCAAGGAACTGGGATCTATTGCCAGCACCACAACAAGAAGGGGAGTGGGAAGGAAAAGAATCAGAGGAAAATGTAACATTCCTGTCAATACCAAATCTGGGAGCCAGGCCTGGTGCCGCCTGTGCTTAGCCCCACCCTAGCATCACCAGGGCTTGTTTGGATGCCAAGCCTAGTTCTGATGCTTCCTTAGCCCAACCTCACCCCAGCTTTGTTCCTCGTCCTAGCTCCATCCCACAGTGATCCTTCACCCAAGTGCAAATCCAGGCCCTGACCCCATGCCAACGTTGGCAAGCTCTAACTTCTCGCCTAGCCCCAGCCCCGCCCTCGCTCACCTGTTGCGACTCTGTAGCCGCTGCAGCTCGTGGCTCTGCATCAGCACCTGCCTTTCCAGCTTGTTGGTGGACAGTGAGTTCTCCAGCATTTGGATCTGTATGTGTGATGTCTGGTTTGGGACCTGTCTCAACAAGCAGGAGGATTGTGGGGGCATTGCTATATAGGCCCAAGGGCCTGCCTGCCACTCTTGAAACTTGCTAACCCATGGCAACCTGAGCTATGAGTTTCCATGGCTACCAGCTTACTACTCTTCTCAGGCCCTCCCTGATTTATCCGGTTCTGACTTACCCTTCCTCATTACTGCTGTTGCACGCCAGTGCCAATCTTCTAGCTGTTTGGGCTCCAGAGGCATATCCTTGACCCCACATGAAATCAGTCTATCAGCCCCATCTCCCAATGGCCCCTCACCATCTCCTTTCCCCCTAAGGCCATATCGCATCTTGGCTGCTTCTAGTTAGCTTCAGCTGTCGACAGCCCAGAGCTATCGAGGGAGTCCCAGCTAGGAGAGTGTTTCTCTCAGATTGGCCTAAGGGTATGTCTGTGGGGCATTTTCAGGATTGTTGATTGATGTAGAAGGGCCCTGCCCTCTAAGGATGATGCTACTCCTGGGCAGGTGGTCCCGAGTCGTATAAGAAAGCAAACTGGGCATGCCGTGGACAGCAAGCCAGCATGCAATATCCATCCATGGTTCCTGCCTCTGTTCCTGCTTGAGTTCCTGCCCTGATTTCCCATGATGATGGGCTGTTATCTGGAAGCAAAAGTTAAACAAACCCTTTCTCCCTATGCTACTTTTAGTCATGGTGTTTACCATAGCAACAGAAAGCCAGCTAGTTCGCTGTCTGCTGCCTCTCATCCAGTGTCCAGCGCTGGCCTCACCAGGCTCCTTGCTCTTGCCTTTCCCCCTTCATCCCTTTCCTACAAAGCGGTTTGAGGCAGCCTTTCATGCTGTGGCCCCTCTGCTCAGAACCCTTCTGTGGAAAGCTCATCCTCACTAGGCCCCTGACTCAGTTTCCCTCTATTGCTTCCTTGTTCCATCTCTCAGGCTTTAGCCCTCCTCCATGTTCCTGGAGCAGCCCAGGCTCTACTTCTGAGCTTTTCTGCAACGTGGTCCATATCCTATTAGCACTGCATCCCAGTGTCCTTCTGACCTTGCTGTCTGGACTCATAGCCTCCCATTCTACCCACACACCCAGCACACCCCTCTTTCTCTCTGTGCCTTGCTGGCTCCCTGGCACTGCCACTGAGTAACACACAGGGGCCGTATATCCGCTTGCCTTTTTGGTGGGGTCTGGGGCAACAGAAGCTTGACTGTTTTGTTTACAGCTCTAGCCTGGGTCCGGGATCTCACATGGTGTCTGGCACACACGAGGGCTTTAGCAAACAGTTGCTCCTTCCTCCCCACTCCCTTGCTCCCTGCTTTGTCAATGTTGCCTTCCTCCAGGGCCCAATCCAGTCTTGTCATTGAGCTTTCACAGAAAAGTTGGACCCAGGACTGTAGTCTAGAGCAAGATGACTGGCTATATGGATGTGTCATCAGAGAGAGGAGGCCAGGGGACTTCAGGCCCAGGGAAGGCCCCTGACCTCACTGGTACAGTGGCAGAGAAAGGAAGCCCTCTGGTGACTCTCCTGTTACCTGGGCCTCCACATCAGTCAACTTGTGGTTCTGAGCCGTGGTCTGGTTCATGACGTCGGCACCCAGTGCTATCATGGTGCTTGTCTGGTTCGGGACTGTGTGCTGTTTGGTCTGCACCAGGTTTGACCTCAAACTCCTCAGGATGGACTGCTCCAGCTGTAGGGAGACAGAGGGCTGCAGTGACAGGGCAGGGGCTGGGAGGAGCCTCCTGTTGCTCCCTCCCGCAAAGCTCCATGGCAGAGTACAGAGCAGCAGCTAGGGTAGACCCCTGGCTGAGACTGTGCCCTGTCAGGCCAGTGTTCCCCTTCCCTAGGTTTCCCCCACTGGCCTGTCTTTATTCTTGTTGCAAACCATCTGTCCTCCACTGGACAGCCAGAAGGGTCCTGTTGAAACTAGGTGAGCCACACCCCTCCTTTGCTCTACGTTACCCCAGGGTTCCCATCTTACAAGAAAAGCTAAAAATCTGGATTTGCTGTTTCCTCCAGAGCCAGTCCACTCCCTCCTCCATCCTTCCCTGCATCTCTCATTCTACTGCAGGGGCCGTGCTCCACGCATCCCTCCTAGGCAGCCACGCACCCACCTTAGGCCTTTCCACATGCTACGCCCCCTGTACTCTCCAGAACCCCTCTCCTCTTACACGGTCACTCCCTCATGTTATATCACTGATGTCACACTTACCAGTCCTTAGTTTTATGACAAGCATTTCCTTTGATCTCTCTCACCCTCCAGAGTGTCAGTTACAGGAAGCCAGGGATACAGTCTTGCTCAATATTTCATCTCCCACATCTAACACACCCCCAGGTGTACAGTGGCTACTCAATAATTGTGTTCAAGGAAATGATAGGAAAAGGGGTACAGCAAGGATCAGAGTGTAGCCTTCATGCCTTGCCTTTCCCCAGCTTCCTAGGGGAGAACTGGCCTATGGCAGAGGAGAGATGTGGTGGGCTCACATATTTTCCTTGTACAGGTTTTTGTGTCCATCTACCAAACCGAACTTTCTTTTAGCCCTGCTGTCTGCCAAACGGCTGAACTCATAGCATCCAAGGAAGGGCCTTGGACGCCTTGAGCTGGCTTGCTTTCTTTGGAAAGGCTGTTATTCTTCCTGAGAGGCCATGGCGCTGGTCTGCTGGAAGCCAAGATCAAGCTGGAGAGGTGAACAGCGAGTCCTCAGGCTGAGCCTCTGCTTCACTGCTCCTGGCTGCACCCACGGCCTGGGTCCCTCTGTCTCTCAGGCCAGAACTCAGGCTTCCTTAAGATCCACGGGGGCCACTCAAAGGGGCCCTTGGAAGGCCAGGGCTCTCACGGAGGGGTGGGGATCTTGAATGGAGGTCTGGCTCCCTTGGGCTGATTCTTTCTTCATTCTCCGACTCCTCTGCCCACCCATCTCCTCCTGCCATGAACACTTCCAGTGTACGTTCCACTGCCAAGTCCCAGCGGGCATAGGGAGAGCGCTGGGAATGTCTAGAGAGTGATCCATGGAGCAGCCTCACCTGGGAGCTGGTTAGAAACGTGGGTTTCCAGACCTGGTCCAATACTACCAAACATGGAGCAGCTGTGTGTTCTTTAATTAAACTGAAACCTTGAAGTGGAACACACAAGGAAGACACATGGAGCAACCTGGAGCATCAGCAGGCCTCTGCCTTCATCTTCCTTCTTCCTCGGCATCATCACTGGTCCTAACCCTTTCTTGCAGCACATGGAGGATATGTGTTCACAGACCCATCTAAAAACTAGAACCCTCCCCCTCCAGTTGCCTCCCAGTTTCTCTATCCCCGGCGTCTTGGTCTTTACCTTCTGTCTTGCTTGAGACAGGGTCTCTTGTCCACCCCTGCCGATTAACTGGCCTGAGAGCTACTGGGGGATTTCTCCTGTCTCAGTCTCCCATCTTGCAGGAGGGCTGGAATGGCAGACATGTGCTACTAGCACCTTGCTTTCCTTGGGTTCTGGGGATCCACACTCAGGTCCTCATGCTTGTGTGGCAAGGGCTCTATCTGTTGGGTTCTATCACTAGTCCTGCCAAGATCCTTTAATTCACCTTGTCTCATACTGTAACTATCACCAGCAAAGCTGCCGGACACACATACAATCAAATACACTCTCCTCTTACAACCTGGGCACTGCTGAATCCTCCTTCTCAAGGTTCAGTGTTGGTCTCTTTGCTTTTTTATCCCCTCTTTCCCCAGGCCAGGGGTCCTCAACAGGGGACCAGACGGTCTGCGAAGAGATTTCAGGAGTCCATGGCATTGAGTGAGTGCAAGGTGACACTGGACATGAATTTGTGATTGCAATTTGACATTTTCATCAACTTTAGCCCAGGCCACAAAGACGAGCTGGCTCAGCATGTCCTGTGACTCCATGACAAAGAGAAATTCTGAATGCTTATATTTTTAGCCCAATATCTACAGAACTCCCCCTCCCCCCACTGAGTATGACTATGGAATTATGGGAGTTACCAACCCACCACTGGATGAGGCAACAACTTCATTGTCAATTTGGTCTTTAATATTTAGATTATAGCTACAGTATTAGTAGATGCTCTTCCAAGGGTCTTGACTTTAGTTTTTCTTTTGTGCATGTGTTTGTATGGCCTTTTGAAACAGGGTCTTGCTCTATAGCCCAGAACTTAGGAGACTGGTCTTGAGTTCACAACGACCCTCCTGTTTTAGCCTCCTGAGTGCTGGGGTCATGGGCATGTACTACCATACCTTGTTGATTGTATATGTTTCTCAGAAAACGCAGAGGCTCTCTCTGGGGTCAGACACAAGGATTCAGTGCTCCAAAGCCCTGAGAACTGCACGTGTGCTTTGGCCACTCCTGAGACTTTCATAGCTCATGACTTACCATTTCTATATCAGGAATTCTTCCTGGACACCTCTCCATAGCTACACAGGTTTCAGGCAAGCATCTCTAAAACTGGATATGGGAATTTCAGCACTTGGAGGTAGAGAGGAGGACGTGTAATGTAAGGGTATCTGCAGCTACCTAGTGAACTCAAAACCAGTTTGGGCTACCTTGAGACCCTGTCTCAAAAACAAATGAGTAGAGATAGAAGTAAAGAAACGAGCAACCAAACAACCAGCCTTTTCCAGTGCCCAGCAGAGGCCTGAGTCCTACCTCTTTCCACATCCCTGGATCTCTCAGGCCTTTCCCATTTGTTCATCTCAGTGAATGGCCTCACCCAGTCCTGAAGACCCAAGCCCAGACCTTAATCTTGACTTCTTTTCTGTTCATCCCACACATCCTGCTATTAAATCTGTCTGCTGAGCTCCCAGTAAGAACTTCCAGTCTGTTTGCCTCCTCCCTCAGCTCCCCAGGGACACTACTGTGTGACTGTCTGGGGCCCACCAGTGTGGCTAGGGTGCACGGAGCAGGGCCGGATCTGCCTGTTGACTCTGCTCAAAATGAACCTTCTAGAACTTGGGTCAGGTGCAGACTCCAGGGCCCTTGGCTTCTACTTAGACAGTCAGCAGCAAGTTTATTTCTGAGTAGAGAACTTTCTAGAGAGCTCTCTACATGTCAGGGCTGATGTGGCTTCTACACACTGTAGATTTCAAGTCAGAACCCACATATAGGAAAGCGCAGGTTCCATGAGGCCTCCCTCAGTCTATAGAGCCAGGCTGAGGACTCAGGGTGACTTAGGGCCTCTTGAGTGATTTTCCCCACTGGGCCTGTGACTGTAAGTAGTTGGGCGGGGCTTAAACCATCCACAGCTGGATCCTGTTATCCAGCCGGCTAGCCCACCCACTGGCCTGGGCCCTCGGCAGATAATCCCAGCCAGATGGCCTGGTTCAGCCAGGCTGGGGTTCTGGGTACTAAGACCAGTCGAGACAGGCAGCCAGGGCTGGTCCAGGCACTAGTCAATGGATGTGGAAAGAAACCCTCTTGAGAACCTGACCCAGGCAGGGTTCTGCTGCTTTCCAGATGTCACTCCACTAGGATCAGACCATCAGAATCTTTCCTAGCACCTTGGAGCAGCCAAGCAGCAGCATACCCTATCCCAGCAGGCACCACTCCTTCACCTTCAAGCCCCCGCTCTGCTGCCTTCCTGTTTGTGCACCCTGGAAGCGTTCTGGATGCTCCTGGACCTCACTTTCCAAATATGTTCTATGGAGGCAGTAAGTACAATCCTCTCTTTGGAAGAAGGCATGTGGAAAGGGCAGAGAAGAGGAGGGGAAAGGAGACGTCTCAGCAGGCAGAGACTAAGGAAGAAAGGAAGGGTCCTCCATGCAGACCCCAGTATGTAGTTTCGGTGACTGAGCAGGTCCAAGGGAGTCTGCTATGCTGTTATCTATACAACTGGATCTTAATTGGCAAAAGCTGAATAGTTGAGCCCCAGTCACCCTGTGGGCTCCACTCCAAGAGAAGGAACAAATGAGTCCTTAGTGTACCCAGCCACAGTGACAGGCTTCCAAAGCGAAAAACACAGACTCAGTGTCTGCAGATGTGGGACCCCACCAGTGGGGCATTTGAGCAAGTCATAATCTCCAGTCACCAGGCCTTGAGTGGGCATGTGTGTCTTCAAAGGGACACGAGAACTTTTAGGGTTGCCGGCAATACCCTATACCATGAGATGGCAGTACATGGATTTTGCGATATGTGGTTTAATCCTCAATAAAAAAGAAACCCAACACAAGTTTCTAGAAATGTCTCAGATAAATATGAATTATAATTTGAACTGTTTTCTTATACCAACATGGGACCTTGAGTTTCGAGCACATATCCACTCAGGAGTATTTGTTGAACCCTTGCTACATAACCAACCCTGCCCTTAGTATACGGAGTCAGGGATAAACAAAATCAACAAGTATTCTATTTCCAGGGCCCCTACTAGGTAAGCAAGTCAACCTGCAGTAGTGATATACATCATGAACAAAACCAGGCAGGATGAACACTCAAGGCAAGCTGGCTAGGGTCATCTGGGGTAAGAGGATGAGATCCCAACAGCCAGAGGAAAGCCAGGATGGAGAGGTTTCGGGTGGAGGGAAGGCAAGAATGAAGGCCCGAAGGCAGAAAGGAGTATGTGTGGGATTTGAAGGTCGAGGCTGGTGAGAGCAACATACTCCATGTGTCTTTCTGGGGTGCATGAGGCTCAGGGTTCAGAAAAGCCACTGTTATAGAAAGGGGGTCAAGCCTTGGATCAGTGGTGGCCACCACTT